TCGTTTAATGACTACATCTCTTAGCAACCAAACTTCCAGTCCCAATCATAGCAATATGTCGGGAACTACCTACAATGGATCCAGAAACATGGAAAGTGCAGTTCCAATTGGGAAAAAACAAACAAACAAGGAAGCTGCAAGAGAATAAAAATTTCAGCATCTTTCTTCCACAAGGTTCCTTTAAGATCCTCTTCAAACTGTTTGTGTACTCAAATACAGGTTCTGCTCCAATTATTTATCAACTACTGTATAAATGTCTATCAAAACTATATCTAAATTTACTTTAGAAACTACAATGTAAAACACGAGAAATAATGGAAAGAAACAGCTCTAGCACAATCTCCTTGGCATACTTTAAAAATTCTGTAATTTCAAGTTGAAACACCAAACAACGAAGCAGAGTGGTAACAGTTTTAAAATTTAAAACCAAAGTTTGTGATTGAGATTATATAGCTTTTCTACATAAAGAAATGTTTATTTCCTGCATTATGAATGAGGTTCAGAGATGTACAACTTCTCTGAAAATCAGGTACTATCAGGGTGCCCAATTAATTTATTTTAAACAGATATTCAGCATATATATAAGGAAGCAACATGTTTACATCCCTAAAATTGATTTTATGCCACTGCTATATCAATTGAATGTAGCTATCACAGTGATAGGAACAAGATAAATGAGGAAAACTATGACAACATAGACATGTATAACTCAATTCCGAACATAGATATCTCTTCTCAGTTACCTGGTTTTACACATTATCCTGTTTTCTGTAACTAGAATAACAAGTATAGGAGAGTGATAATATCACAATTTTATATGGACCAATCTAGTGAGATTAGATCAGGGGTCTTCAAACTTGGCCCTTTTATGACTTGTGGACTTCAACTCCCAGAATTCCTCAGCCAGCTTGTCTGGCTGAGGAATTCTGGGAGTTGAAGTCCACAAGTCATAAAAGGGCCAAGTTTGAAGATCCCTGGATTAGATATAACATTATTACATTAGATATAATACAGGTAATCCCCAAATTATGAAGGTTCACTTAGCTCCTGTTCGAAGTTACGTGACAAGGACCCCCTAGTGCTTACGAGCAAGTCCCCAAATCATGAATCTTGCAGCATCATGGCAGTTATTCACCCTTACAAATGACTGAAGAGGCTCTGCAACCTTCACCCTATTCCCCCCCTCACAACTGCTTCCCCCTCCCTTCCTGCCGCGCCGGACTCACCTTGCAAAACTCCTCTCTGCCACTGTTTCTTTCCCTTTGGGCGAGAGGAGAGTCAGCTTGGGAATGCTTTTCATGCCGAGAATGGAAGTTTCTGAAGTCCGTGATCTCGCACAAGTATTTGAAGTTGCACCAAATCACAGACCTCAGAAACTTTCCTTCTGTGTGGAAAAGGTATTTGCAGTGCCTGTCTCCTGCTCCTGCCCCCAACTCCTTTCTGCCTGAGGGCAGACCCGAAGCCTTCAACTGAGGGAGGAGGCCAGGCCCCTCGCACCCGCATCCAGCCCACGGGAGTTCGCCACGCCGGGGGAAGTGAACCCGTTGTCCCCAGAGCCTCAGACGCCTCCTCCAAGCCAATGAGAATGGAGGCCAGGGGAGGCTTCTGCATACCTCTGGAGATCAGATCCAGGCCTTGGAGGACTGCTCCAAGACCTTGCTGCCTGGAACGGAGGCCAGGGGAGGCTTCTGTGTGCCTCTGGAGGCCGGATCCAGGCCTCAGAGGACTGCTCCAAACTGTTGCTGCCCGGAACATAGGCTGGGGGTAGCTTCTGCATGCCTCCAGAGGTCGGATCCAGGCCTCGGAGGACTGCTCCAAGCTGTTGCTGCCCGGAACGCAGGCCGGGGAAGCTTCTGCATGCCTCACGGAGGTTGGATCCAGGCCTCGGAGGACTGCTCCAGGTCATTTTCAAGGTAAGTGAGTCCGGTGCAGCAAGAAGGGAGGGGGAAGCATGAGTTATTTTAGTGGGTCGGGGAGGCCTTGGATGCCTGTTCCATCACTAGGCCTCCCATGGCTTTCCCCACCTTGAGATACCTCATGTGCACTTAACGAGCCGCCTGTGTCTTAATGAGCAGGGAGTGATGTCGCTCGAGGTATGAGGGTACTGAGTTTCCTCCATTTGTCTAGAAACCTAATTATATTTAGGACTTTGACTAAAACTATTTTTATTGAACCAAATATATTTTTATTTGATTTGGGTTTGGCAACCTATATCACTAGTGACCTGAATAATAATAAGAGTCTAAAATGCATATACAAAAAGTTTAGCACTTAGAATGCCTATGTTTATTGCTTGTACTTCTTTCCTCAGCTGTTATCAGAGTATCAGTCTTGTAGGAATAACTAAGCAAGTTAAGACTTACTTTCCTAAGCTGTTGTTTCCTCCATTGTAACTGTCCTCATATATTTTCAGCTCTTTATTATTTCCTCACATATTTTCAGCTCTTTATTATGACTTCAATCCAGCTTTTCTCACAAAAAACAATTAGTGTGTCAGAACCAGATATTCATTAGTATTTTAAATAAAGCCAATTTAATGGGTTATCTTGAACAAGTATTCACAAATCATTTGTACATATGAGTAGAATTTTACCTTGTGCATAAACATGGCATTATAAAAACTCCTGCTTCTGCAAGTGGTTAACTGTCTACCTGAAGACCTGGCAAAAAAAACCTGTAACCAATGCTATACAATTTAACATAATAAAGTTGCAGTGAAAAAAGATATTCACTTCAATATCATATTAAACAAGTTCTTACTAGGGATGATAACGTTTTAAAATTAATTTCATTATATTACTAATACTGTTGACAATAATGCCCAAATAAGAAAAAAAATTGTTCTTAATTTATGCTTGTACTTTATTGATGGGCATTTAGGTGTCATCCCTGTAATGAAATGATGAGCAATGAAGCCCATCAAATAGTGTCAAAAAACAAATATTTCTTAAGAGGGAAGATTGTACAGTATTAATGAAAAATGTGAGATAAGCAAATTGTTGGGAAATGTCCAGTCAGGCAGGCAGGGAAAAAGATTCAAGGGGGAAATTAGCCTTGAATTGTTGTGCAGCCATAAGAGATCCAAGACTGATCCTTCTCCTCCAAACCCCATGGGAACTTATCTATCTATTCCCAAGGGAAGACAAGCATTCTGGGGAGATTCCTGTATTTTGGCAGAATTCAATAAATCAGTTAGCTTGAACTCTCTTTGCCTAATTTTGCATAAGAAGTCTTTTATTTTACTGAAGAGGTCATTGAATATAATGTACGTATTATTTACATAAGCAAAGGAATAAAAACATTAATTAAGTTGAGATCAAGCTAAATACTTATTAAAATAATTTTAAACTTTTTAAATTTAAATTTTTTTCTACTTACCTAATAGAGTCTCTTATTAATATAGTAGAAATCCAATACAGATATTACATTTCAAGACTCTACAAGGGAAGTATGTGATTACAAATACACTTCAGGTAAAAAAGGAATATGTATTGTTCCGAAACTCTTAAGTATATAAATGAATTCAATGACAAATATTATTACTTTAAAAACATCTTGAGCAGATGCATCTACAATTAATTTCTGTGAGATTATACAGGAACAGAAGCTAGAGATTTGTCATGGTTTTACATATAAAATATTTTGGATATTTTCTTCTATGAAGACTTTTAAAAGGAATATAATACATAGTATTGTTATTTAGTTTACTTTACTAAATTTCTTATTATAGTTAGCATATTATATAATTAACTTCTTTCTAAATCATTGAGCTATAGAAGTAGGGATTCCTTGGGAATTTTGTAACAATTCCTGACCTCCTATCCTTTCCTTGATTATTCTCACGGCAATAATATTCTTCAGAAGAAGCAACCAGGAAATTTTCTTAGCTACTTCAAGATACCTTGAGCATCTTCCCTGAAGCAGACAAACAAGCTATTTTTTTGTCTTTTCTCCTGCCAATATCTGTGATAAGACACTATGTTAATAACTTATATGTGAAAAACTTCCACTTTTTCATTAATATCTAAATATTTTAAATAAGTAAAGCTTTCAAATAATCAGTTCCTTCTAGAATGGCTAATTACCAAGAAAACTACATTTTATCAGCAAATACAACTAGATGCATTTCTCTTAAATAGCTATATTAAGAATTTCAACTGATAACAGGGATAGAATATAAGGGAACAGAATAAAATAAATACATCTATTAACATATCCCATTTACTGCTAGCAAAAAAAAAAACAATTGTTTCTATTTACATAGCAAGCCAAGCACAATTTCCCTAAAGCAACATACAAAACTGACTTTGCTAACATGATACAGCTATACTCAAAATTATTTTACAACAATATATTAATATAAGTATTATTATATTATAGTTTAAAGAGTATAGGTATGAAAGAATGATGAAAAAGGCATTATTTACTTCTCTGTCACACTTAGATAAACAGGAAAAACATTTCCTAAATTAATAAAAAAATAAATATATTTCAGCTACTACATTAACATCCAAGTTCAAATTTTAAATCACTTTAGGCCAAGGGGCTTTAGGCACTACATGCCAGAAAAACTAGAAGTTATGGAATAATTAGCAGTTCAGATATAGTTCCAATCCAATCCACTTACTACTCATCAAATTACATTAGCTATAACAAAATGACTTTTTAAAAAAAAACACTTAATAATAGCAATGACCACAAGTGTTTTAAAAAGGATCTAATTTTTGGATTTCAACAATGAAAAGTAAAGAGACATACAAGTATAACAAAATTATTCAATCATTCAATTAATTAAAAAAGGCAGAATATAAGTTGAACAGAGAAGTGGCTAAATCCATATGAATACAATTGTGTAGCAGCATAAAATATACAAAAAATAAAAGCATTATGTGGTAGAAGTTATTAAAAGCTTTTCGGCAACTTGGAAGAAATGGAAAAAAAATAATGTGTATCAGCCCAGCATGGTGGTGTGCTTTAACAAAGAAACAAAAATTGTATACCTCTTGTAATAGATCTGCCTGTTCAATGGCTTTAAGAACATTTTTCTTGGAGGTCTCTTGAACTTCTCCTCCCAAGAGGAATTCATCCAAAATAAAATAAGCCTTCTCAAAATTAAAGATGATATCAAGTTCACAGACCTAGAAAATATTAAAAAAGAAAGATGCAATGCCCAAAAAGGAGTTATCTGCAACAATCTATGGAATGCTTCCCTCCCAGAACTATGAATGACCACTACCCTGGCAACACTGTTGGCATATAAACTAGCCAAAGTATTTTGTTTCTGTGCATTCAGTCCTTAATTAGCTTATTTATGGCTCATTGATTAGCAATTTATTTTTAATACATTAGTTTATTTATTGATTACATCTATTTGATATTTACTGATGTTAATATCTTAATGGTAATATTGCATTTTTAATTTGACTGTTAGCCTGATCAGCATCTGCAGAATCTTGGGTAGCCTACAGTGCTACGTAAATTAATTTTTGTATTATCAATTTTGGACAAAATAAAGGGAGAAAATAAGGAATATATGAGTAAACTAGCATTTTAAAGACAACAGGCAGAATAACTATGAACTAGTCCTCTTTGCAAAAAAAAAATGTCCTTTATTCCTTCAATCGTCTTTAGCCACAAGATATAATGAAAAGCATTCATGGGGTTATTACTGTGCTCGCAAGCTCCATGGCCATCTAACTTTAAAAAAAAATTAAATTAAAAAGTTAAATAAAGAGTTGCAAAGCAAGGCACCAGTCTGTAACAAATTTGCAGTAATCTCTTTGAATACACAGAGTTTCCTAGGGGTAAAGCGTTGGAGATTTGGAGGGAGCTACTGGGTACCAATTTAAATTGGTAAATTGGTGTTATGTAATTGGTCATACTCATTTTGATGACATTTTGTGAACAGGCTATTTTTTCAATGTACACACTGCATATTTTCAAATTCGAAAATGTTAAATTTTCTGCCATGAAAATATAGAAAAATATCTCATCCTACAACAGAGATTTCCCTGAAGAAGAATTCAGAATAGTATTTTCTCTGGTTTCTTTCTGTCCCACCAGGTAACCACTACTTTTTATGCTGTTTTATGGAATCCTGATTTTATTGATGGGCTTTATTCAAGTGTCAGAGAGAAAAATCTTTCTGCTACTTCTCTTTTTCACTGAGAACCAATGAAACTACCTCTGAGATTTTCAAAAACTAGAAAAAAAATACAGGGAATAACTTACACTTCCAAAATATTTATCAAGTAATTCTACATAACGATGAATTATTTCCAAGGTTATTAACTCATTATCCTGATCTTCAATGGCACAGCAGAAATAGAGGCTTGCATACCTGTAAGACACATATTTAATTTAGCAAGGACATGACAGACTTTTGCAATCTTAACTATGTTCAATAACAGTTTAACAAAAATGTCCAATCTTTAAAATAAAATTAAAATGTCACAATTGCAGAAATTGACAATAAAACATTAGATTTAGTATATAAAAGTAAACCTAAGGTAACTGTGAACTAGTAAAAATGCTTTTAAAATCCCCTTTCTTCACTTTTTTTAAATATTGGTTGTGAAGTATGGTTGTTCAGAACAAGACAGTTTGTTGAAAAGTTTCTTTTTTTTTCAATATAAATTTTTTTTATTGTTTTCATCATAAAAAAAAGAAATACATCACAGATATTACACAATGTTATATCCCATCCCCCCACCCCCCGGACTTCCCAAACCAAACCTAGGCTAATATTCAAATACAAGTAAACAAATATTAATATCTCTAACTCCAAACTCTAAACTTAAACAATCCATCTCCTCCGTATTAATAAAAAATATTCATTTAATTAGTTCTTCAAATACCCAAAATCTTTACCATTTCAGCAAGATAGTTTAACACCATCCCTTTCTATCAT